ATTTTTCCGACATCCGCGTCTCCAGGCTGCCGGAGTTCGGGGCCGTCGCCCGCGACGAGGACGTTCCTCGCTGTTTGCGTCCAGCTCTGGGTTTAGGGGTGCCGCTCGCCTGGGACGGGCTCACTGCTCAGGTGCCCCCAAGCACGACAGCTGGGCGCTGACCAAGCATGCGCGCCGGCACATCGACTGGCTCCAGGAGGACTCCCAGGCCCGGGCGGAGGCCTGGGACAGGACCTGCGGCCTCGGTCGCCTGCCCCGTCGCGCCTGGCACCCGGCCTCGGAGCGGCCCAACTTCGACACGGGCGACGAGGATGAAGACCCGACGGGCCGACGCCCTCCTGCCGGAGCAGCTCGCCAGGATGTTGGGCCCTCGGCCCATGACTCGGGAGCCCACCCTCACGGTTCCCTACGCCGAGCACCGCCCGGGTTCTGTGGCGGGACGCTTCTACCTGGCACGTGGGCCCTGGTCGAGGGCTCGACGACGGGATCGCTGAGTGCCGCCGCCGCGTCGAGGTACGACGCCGGGCTCTGATGTACTGGCCCTCGAGCGGGAACGCCTGCCCTGGCGTTGGTGCGTGGTCTGCTGGTGCGGCCGCAACCTCAGCCAGGCTGACGAGGAGGACGTCAGCGCGTCGCCGGGCGGGCGGTACAGCCTCATGGCCCGCCCGGGCCGATTTTCTGGGCAAGCCGCTGGAGCAAAAAGTGTCGGTGGGTCACCGCCGTTTTGTTCGCTTCGGTTGGTGCTTGCGCTCGGTGCCCCAGCCTTCTCAAGCTTCCTTGCCGCTCCCGCCTCTGCCCCCTCTTCTGTCCCCCCCTCGACTTGGTCATAGCCGCGCCTTCGTCCTCGGCCACCGCCCTCGTCGACTTCCGCACCCTAGGCTGGGAGCTGAGGCCGGGGCGGGGGACGTCGTGGTGAGATACCTGGGGGCGCGCGGCCTCGCCCGCACTGCCACGCTCGATCGCCTTGGTGGAGCCAGACGAGGTTTGAGGCGACCGTGGTCGACCTACTTCTGGCTGGCTTCCGCGACGGCGCCTCGAAAACCGAGTTCGTGGTCCACGAACGCCCGGCCGTCCGGGCGGTCCTGCTGCACATGTACCTGGAGGCCAGGACACAGCCAGCGCCCCGGCGTCTTCTGCGCCGGCCCTCCCGACCCTGCCGCTGCCGCCGGTGGCGGCCACCCAAGTCCTTTGACGCCTGGGGGCCCCTCGTCAAGTCGTATAACGACAAGCTCCTCGACGGCAAGCCCAGGTCTTTCCCCACGAGGCGCCTGGCCGGGGCGGACACGGTGCTCGCCAGGATATATCACGAGCACACCGTCACCAAGGCCTACACGCCGCTCTTGCTCGGCGAGATTCTGGCCGCCAGGACTTGGACTTCAGGAGACGAGCTCAACCGCCTGGCGGTGCCTCAGAAGGAGACCGGCTCCCTGCACATCGTCGGGGGCAACCTGGTTGCGACGGACGACAAGAAGGTTTGGGAACCTCGCGGTGTCATGTCGGTGCTGGACGGGCTCGAGGCAGTTCGCCTGGCGTGGATCCTGACCACGGTCGGCGACGAGGGCGACGTCAACGACTACATCGCCTGGTCCGGGCCCGCGCGGCCCACATTGAGAACATAGTCGCCTACTGGACGTCGACGGCGACGACTTTGGCCATGGAGCTGCGCCAGCGGCGCACCTTCAAAGAGGTCACCGCCGACATCATGGCGGATACTTCGGGATGGTTGGAAGCCATGGCCACTCCGCCGCCCGGACAAAAAGCCTAAGAAGCCCGCCAGGCCACAGCCGCCACCCAAGGCCGAGCCGGACCAGGGGGCGGACTGGACCCCGCCGACCCCGAAGTGGCAGCGCACGGGGAAGGGGAAGAAGGGGCAGAAGGGCCAAAAGGGCGGCAAGAAGGGAGCCAAGGGCGGCGGCAAAGGTCAGGAGCGCCAGCGCCGCCAGGAAGAGCAGCGCCGCGACCAAGCCTGGGACGATTCCTGGTGGGCGTCGTCTTCTTGGGGCTCGGGCTATGACTGGGAATCGCCCGGCCGCGAGCAGGGCTGCCGGGGCGAGAAGAAGCGCACCGACGCCAATCAATGGCGTTAGGGACAGCGCGGGGCCGACGCCGCTGCGGCTGCGTCGGTGTTTGACCCGGCCCCTGCCAAACGAGCCAGGCTCAGGCCGAATCGCCCGGAGGGGCGGTCCATCATCGTCCTCTCCGCCTTCGACGGCATCGGCGCGGCCCATTGGTTGTGGCCAAGTCCTTCGGGCGGCCTCTCCTGGCGGTATCCTGGGAAGTCGACCGGGCGTGCAAAGCCTTGGTGCAAAAGGCCATGCCCTGGGTGGAACACAGGGGCGACCTCACACGGGACTCGTCCGAGGATGTGGCCGACCTGGTCCTGGACCCTGACACCTCCGCCCTTGTCGTCTGGTGCGCGGCGCCCCCGTGCCAGCACTTTTCCCGGATCGGCCACGGACCTGGCCACCACGGCGAGAGTGGCAAGCTCTTTCAGGACGCCGTGGAGTTCATGCACCAGCTCCGCGCCAGGTTGCCCAAGCCGCTTCGGCTTCCTCTATGAAAACGTCGACATGGGCCAGGCGGCCGCCAAGGTGATTTCGGACGGGCTCGGGGTCCAGCCCGTCTTCGCCTGCCCGTCCGATTTCGGCTGCGTTTCCAGGCCGCGCCAAGGCGTTCTCCACCTGCCCACGGCCGAGATTAAGGAGCAGCTGCACGGCATCCCCATCGGCTACACGTCGCAGGCTGGGGCTAGACAGACGCGCCCCATGATTGGAAACGGCTGGCATATTGGGGGGTGGCCGGCCGCCTCCTGAGCTTCGTCGTCCTCGCCGCTTGGGCGGCGCCTCTGGCAGAGGCCTGCCAGCTGCCCGCCCGCCCAAGACCTCAACATTGCAGTGGCTGGCCCAGGCTTGGGCGGGCCGGCCGTGTGGGACTTCGCTCCCCGCCCCGACCCTCACCGCCTCGGCACCTCTGATGCAACACTCCCTCGCCCGCCGCCCGGCCTTGGAGCCGGCCCTGGGGGCGGTCATGGACCTCCGAAGTCGGTGGCGACACGGGAGATCGTCGCAGAGCTCTTAGTGATGGTGGAGGAGCGAGAGGACGACACGCGGGCATGGCTCCAGGAGCTGCCCGCCCACGTCAGGGCGACCTATACTACGTCGGACCTTCCAGGGGCCGATCTTCCTGGAGCTGCTCAACGACCTCGGCTACCCCGCCACCACGGACCTTGAGGAGGACCTGCGCTTGGGCTTTGACATGCTGGGCCCGGTCCGCCACGCGCCAGGATGGAAGCCGCGCGCCGACGGGCGCTATTCCAACCCCTCTGGTCTGGACCGTTTGCGTCAGGAGAATATGCGCACCCTTCGCCAGCCGCCATTGGGCGACTGCTTCGCCGCCCTGTCCTTCGCCATCTGCCAGCTCGACGAGAACGGTGACCTTAAGCTGCGCCGGGGCGAAGATTGGCGACGCTCAGGCCACAACGCCACCATGCGCGCGGAGGATGTGCCCACCACTTCCTGGGCGACATCGTGGACTTCGTCCTGGCCGCCTGGTGCGAGGGATGGGAAATTTAGGGTCTTCGGACACGACCTTCAGAACGCCTATCGCCAGTGGGCGGTGCGGTGCCCCGGTCATTGTGGGACGTTCCTCCCCACCGACCAGGGCGTCACGCTATGGTTCCACTACGCCATGTGCTTCGGCGCGGCGGCGAGCGTCTGGAACTTTAACAGGGCAGCCGACGCCGTCCAGATGCTCATGCGGGCCACTTCGTCGACGACTTCAATGGCGCCGAGGACAGCAACACCGCCGAGTCCGCCCACAACGCCGTCGCCGAGTTCTTCGAGGCCCTCGGCCTCCAGACCAAGCCCTCCAAGGCTCAGGCGCCTGACACGGCGCATGTCCTCCAGCTTCACATCGGGGCGGAAGGGGTCTGGCTTAGCCCGACGGAGGAGCGCCGGAAGAAGATCCTGGCACAGATCGACGAGGCGCTGGGTGGGATAGCCTATCACCCGACGCGGCATCCAGACTGGCTGGGCGCCTCACCTTCCTGTCGCAGTCCACCTTTGGCTGCACGGGGCGGGCCGCCATCAAGCCCCTCTACTCCGGGCGGCAGACACGGCGGCAAACTCGGCGGACGCGCTGTCCGTGGGTCTGCGGGCCGCGCTCTCTGCGCTCCGACGGCTGGTGGAGCAGTCTCGCCCCAGGCTAGTGCCCTGGCCGGGGCGGGTGCAGGGCCCCTTCCCGGTGCTCTACGCGGACGCCTTCTTCTTGGACGGCGACTTGCGCCGCAAGCCTGGGCACCTCGAACCGGAGGACCACGTCCCCAAGGACGCCAGGTGGCGAAATGGCTGGGGCTTTGTGCTGCTCCTGGGCGACCACGTCTTCTACGACTTCGGCGTCATCAAGCCCGAGCTCCTCCAGCCGTTCGCCGCCAGGAAGGCCTTCATCTACGTCCTGGAGATCCTCGCCCAGGTCCTCCCCCTGGTCGTCTTCGCCCGCCGCCTGCCCCCTCACTGGATTTGCCTTCATCGACAACGTCGCCGGGCAGTTCGCCCTCATGAAGGGCTACGGGAAGGACCCGGCGGTCAATGGCATTTTGGCCTCCTTCTGGGGGCTGGCGGCGGAGCGCCAGTGGGCGCCTGACTTTTACCGCGTCCCGTCTGCGTCCAATATCTCGGACGCGATCTCCAGGGGCGA